CGAACTGCCCACCTTGCGGTGGCCCTGGTTAGTTGCCAGTCTGTCCCGACTTAGAGGAAACAAGGATACACCGCCAGGCTCTGCCTGCGCCGGCCTCACAATCTTAAATTCTTAAGTTTGAGCCCATTGGGGCGGCCACCAGCCGTCTTAATCCACCTTGTCCAAGGCCTGCCTTCCTCTTCCTCGCCACCCCTCCAGCGTTACCAAGGCACAGTGTCCTTCTCCAGGGACCGGTCTCTGACAACATGTCCACAGTACGTGAGACAACGCCTCACTATCCTAGCCTCTAAGGAGCACTCTGGTCTTGCTTCTTCCAAGACGGATGTTTGTTCTTTCGGTTAGTTACTCTGTAACTCAGAGCCTCGCCATTGGTTCCGTCTCACAGCGCCCCTAGGTGGAGGAGTGGAACAGCCCCGCTGGCTAAAATCTTGATGGAAATCTAAGGCATCAATTCTCCAAAAGTCAGCTGGTAGGTTTGAACTGCCAGCCTTTCAGTACCCTGCTCCCCCCCACCCAGTGCCTAACTCAGAGCGCCACTAGGGTTCCCTTTAACCCCTTCCCAAAAACCCTTACCCACCGCCATCGAGTGGATTCTGAGAGTCCGACTCAGAGGGACCCTATAAATAAAGAGTTCCCCAAACTGTCCATCTTTGTGGGAGCAGTAGCCAGCATGGCTGGTGGGGTTGAACCAGTGACCTCGCGCCTAGGAGGTTAATGCTGATCCCACCGCCTGCACTCCTTTGGGGACACCTGGATACCAGCCCAGCCTGGCTCCTGCAGATCCCCAGGGTGAAGGGCAATCTGATCTGGCATGGGTGGGGGGCTGGGCTGCCAAGATAGAAGAAGGCCTGGCCCTCCCCTCCCTCCCCTTGTGCCATCTGCTCACCTGCGCCTCCGTTAGGGGCACGTGTAGGGTCAAGCTGTTATCCTGGGGGCTCCTTCTTCCACCCAACAAGGAGCGTTAAGCGCTCAGATGCTCTCAGAAAGGTTGGTGCTTCAAACCCACCAGCAGCCCCGGCGGGGAGAGGGCCTGCCCTTGTAAAAATGACCACCTGGAAACACGGAGGCGGGTGGGAGTGGGGACAGTGCTGCTCTGTCACACAGGGTCACCATGAACGAGAAATGATTCGCTGACACCCACAACAACAACCTCTGTACCCCAGCGGAGCTCCTGGAGAAGAGGTCCCGGTGGGAGCCAGCTCTGCGTGTGCCCCCCAGGCAAGGAGCCTGGCTCACAAATGCAACCCCCCCGCCCCTGCAAATATAAAAATAAAAAAGGAATGCAACGTGGTTTTTCCTCCTGGGTCCTCAGTCGCTCCTGGTTTCTCCAGAGACCCTGAAGCAGCTGCATAGACGTTGGGGTAGGGCACCCGAAACACTGAGGATCCCCAGGGCCACAGAGAACCCAGCCTCTCGGGGCTGCCCACAGAACACAGAAATAAAAATCCCTCCTTGCCTTTGCGTCCATTCTGGCTCCGAGACTCTGGGGCCGGAGAGAGCTGCCACCACGAGGGGTTGGTTCCTAAGAGGCAGAGCATTCTGGGAGCAGCTCTCCAGTTCTTTGGGTGGGGGAGGAGGGGCTGTTGGTGGGCTTGCCCCCTGACCTAAGGCTCTTTGGCACCAAAATGTCCAGGAAATGGAAGCCGAGGGACACTTCTGTCCCCAGAGTGCTAATGATGTCATTCCACTCACCTCAATCTCCATTCCCAGTAGAATACTAAAAGTGGAATCAATTGAAAAACAAACAAACCACCCAGACCCCAATGCCAATGACCGCATCCTTTTGTTTGCCCGTGAGTCGGACGGAGTGGAACTGCTCCTTGGGGTTTCTTAAGACTACAGAGCTTTAGGGAGGAGGCCAGTAGTGTAGGAGTTAAGCCTCGGGTTGCTGACTACAACATCATCAGTTTGAAAGCTTCCAGTTTCTCCGCGGGAGAAAGAGGAGTCCCTTCTACTCCTGTGAAGAGTTTCAGTCTTGGAAACTCACAGGGCGGTCCCTGTAGGGTTGCTATGAGTGGCCTCCACTCAATGGCAGGGTAGGGGTGGACAGCCTCATCTTTCTCCCACAGAGTGGCTGGTGGGTTCGAACCACCGACTTTTCTGGTCAGTGGGCCACTGCTTAACCCACTGCACTACCAGGGCTCTTTAGTAAAACATCCACTCTGCCATCTGGGTGGATTCCTACAGGGAAGACCTGCCCCTGTGGGTTTCCGAGACTCTTAACACTTTACTGGATTAGAGAGCTTCATTGTTCTGATTCATCCCTGTGAATCAGCCGGCTGATGGTTTACATTGGCTAATTTGGGGTTAGGAGCCTCACCTGTAATCAATCCGCTACACCACCAGGGCTCCGTCTACAGAAACACTCATTCACTCTCACTGCCAGCGAGTCGATTCCAACTCATAAGGATCCTATAGGACAGGGCAGAACTGGCCCTGTGGGTTTCTGAGAGGCTACAACTCTTAGGGGAGTGGAAAGCCTCATCTTTCTCTGGAGAGACTGCTGGTGGTTTCTTACCGCTGACCTTTCCTTAGCCAGCCTAATGCATAACCACTAGGCCACCAGCAGGGCTCCAAGAGTTCTTTAAAATAGCCCTGAAGCGGAACCCATGACAATGATCTATGCATAACCCCTTCCCTGGGGGACGGACAACAGGAAAGTGGGTGAAGGGAGACATCAGTCAGTGTAAGACATGACAAAATAATTTATAAATTATCACGGGTTCTTAAGGGAGGGAGGGAGGGGGGGAAATGAGATGATACCAAGGGCTCAAGTCGAAAGAAAATGTTTTGAGAATGATGATGGCAACAAATGTACAAATGTGCTTGACACAACGGATGTATGTATGGATAGTGATGAGTTGTACGAGCCCCCCATAAAATGATTTTAAAAATAAAATAAAATAGCCCTGAAGCATCTTCGGGGGCCAGAAAAATTTTCCAGGCCTCTCCCCATCCCTACACCCAATGCCACTTCTCAAAATGGCCCTATGGTGGTGGTTCCTGGTGCTGTCCAATCTATTGAGACTCACAGAGTTTAGAACTGACCTATCGGGCTTTCTAGAATGTAATCTTTTAGGGGGGTTGGGGGGAGGACTTGGTGGCCCAGTGGTTAAGCACTGGGCTGTGAATCCAAAGGGTGGCAGTGCAAACCCATCAGCTGAGCCCCAGGAGAGAAAGATGAGACAGTTGGCCTTCCTAAAAGTCTTGGAAACTCTATGGGGCAGTTTACCCCTCCTTTATAAAAGTTTCTAGATCTCCACACACTAT